CCGATCACGTTAAAAAGAAATACGTGTTGTAGTATTCCGGAATTTTAAATGTAGGTTGGTTTTAGAGGATAATATCGTTATGAACTTGTATCCGGTGTTTACTTTTTCGGAAAATCGAAAGATTTGCCCCCAGGCTTATGTTCTTTCAGAAAAGGTGAGCTTTGTTGTTCATTATAACTGCTGGATGTGTTCATTGTTTTTCGCAGGAGTAGTTTCTTGAATCCTACATTTATTTTTTGCTGAATTGTATTTATTATAATATTTATGGAAGACTGTGCTGCACAGCCGAGGAAGGGGTTGAATATATTTTTAACATACATGCAGTCTACAATCGTAAATATTAGACATGTTAGAAGGCATCATGTTGGGAGAATGCCATTGTGTAGTATTGTATCACTGTGAAATGCCAATTTGTACATGTTGTATAGTCATGAAAGTAAAATTCCTGAGAACTTGCAGATTTGGGGATAGTGAGATAGATTTTGGGAATTAAGTGAATTGATAATTTTCAGAATGCCTCACATTATTCAAGTTGAAGTATTTTATGAAGTTTCATACCATACATTATGATTTTGAAACATTGTCGTACGTGAACAAAATATTTATACACAAATATACATAAACATCTTTTCTTACAAGGCATAATTATGATTAATTAAACGTAAAATGTTAAAATGATATTTATTTTTTTAAATTAAGAGATCAATTGTAATTTCATGCTGACACATGTGCATGTTTTGATCTATATGAAACAATTAACACTATTTTAGCAACCTAAAACTTGATTTACCGGTAGTGTGCATGGTGTAATTGTTCATTAGAAATACCATGTTTTTATTGTACCTTGTGTATTAAATGTGGTGCAGTTTCTAAATACATCAGAAATCACAACCATAAAAATGATTCTCTTGATCAGATATGAACAGAACAGTATTTACCTGAAGTGGGTATTATGATCTAGACTGGAGCTTGATGAAATGGGCAATTGGCCATTTTCAATTTCTTAAGTTACATGTATTGATTCATTATACAGTCATAATGACATATACTTGTATTTATTTGTTACCCTTTAGAGAACTTTTTATTAATGTGGACATGTCACCAACACAGTCTCATCCCAGTGACCAGTCTCTATGTACTACATTGGATTCAGACCCGTGATGTAGGAATCAGCTCTTACTCTCCAACTCTAGGCGTGTCGCTTTAACCACTGGCAATGTGACCCATTATGAAAATTTGACATAATACTTTAAATTCATGATCTCTAAATTTTATTGACTTGATAAAATGACTGATACACAAATAAGACTTTTGTAATCTCTCTGTTTATAGCTGTTTACCATTTGCCATATTTCTATCACTAATTAAATCAGTTTTCAACAATAGCCACTGAAGAGTCCTAGTTGTGTCTTATTATACAGATGATTTTCCCTTGATGTAAAATAGAATATGAAATAAAATAAATTATCAAATAAATTATAATTTTGAATCGGAGAAAATGGAGAGGCCAGGGCCTACATATCTTAAACAAACATAATTTAGATGTAGTCTTGTTTTTATGGAAAATTATAACTTATTTAATTTTTCTCACTCTCAGATATAATTGCATTGCAAGATCTTGTAAAGGTTGTGATAGCCTGATAGGACTGCCACTTAGAATTAGACCAGAGTGTGACTGTGATAATTTCCAATCATTTTTTCATTGTCATGTGTCCATTAGAATTTTCACTGCATGTCAGGTGCAAGGAAATGAACATGCTAGTGGTTTTTGGGACTTTTCTGAGCTCATGCTTAAAACAAAAAAGTTATTACTGTACGGTACTGTACTAACTCGATCTATTTTAATTTCAGATATCCATGGAACAAATCATCTGAAAAAAAAGAGAAGATGAAGAATACTTCTGTTAAAAAGTATGTTTTAGTAGTAAGAACTTAGGTAACTCTATTTTAGGAAAATACTAAGGAAATTAAGGACTAAAGCACAAAGTATATGTTTTTATTTTCTATTGTTTTCTTAATCTCACTGTATAATTTAAAGCTCTCTATTTATCATAGTCAGTGGTTGTCAGTGTGTGTGTGTGTTGTGGGGGAGGGGGGATGTAAGCTGCTTTCCTCTACTTTTTAAGCTTTATATAATATCTTTGTATGTTTGGCATTTCCATCAAATTAACGGATGTTAACATTTTCTTAGAAAGTCTCATTTTGCGTGCTACCTACTAAAATTCTATGATTTATTTAAAATAAGTATTTATAAATAGGCCTATTTTTAGGTCACCTTAGTAAACTCAGGTGACCTATTACTATCTGTTTTGTCTGTTGTGTGTTAACATTTGAACATTTTCAGCTTCTTCCTTGCAACCGCTCAACCAATTTCAACCAATATTGGTACAAAGCATGGTGAAGGGTGAAGGGGAACAAAATTTGTAAATTTTATGATACCCCCCTTCTTTTTTACTCCTGGACATCAAGCAGTCAAACTGTTGGCATGATTGTAATGAGCACTGAGTCGTCTACCATAATTATGAAATTCATGGCCCCAAGGTCAGGGGTTCTAGTACTAGGATTGGTCCATATAGCTCTTTGGAATTAATCAACCATTTATGATGAAATAAAACTTAAGATAACATTTAGAAAATGTTGAAATGTGTGGCCCCAGGGTTAGTGGTTCCTGTGGGTTGGGGTACACAACTGGTGGTTTCAAAATGGAATTGCATTTTATCTTTATTACTCTGATCCACCTTTGGGTATTGAGTAACCAAAGTAAGCATGCTAAGTGTATAATTATGATAAACAATGGTGCGTCTTTCAAAATATGGAATTTCATGGCTTTTTGTTTAAAACACAAACCAAATTCAATGGAGTGAAAGTTGTTACATGATACCTATTAGGTCTGTGGGCCTCTAGTTGTTATTCAAATAAAAAAATATTTTGATGAACAAGTAGAATAAAAGAAAATTCCTTAATTTATTCTGAAAATCAGGAACAAATTTATACATACATATTCAGGTACATTTAAATAAATTCAAGTTTGTCCTAGTCAAGTGTTTAAAAGAGGCAACTTTAAGGACAGACGAGACGTTCCTTAATAATAGATGAATTTTTCTAGGAGTTTGTCATTGAAGTATTGCTACTTAAACATGTTTACTCACAAAAAAATTGAGGTACCTTACCAGGCATTTCTGCAAAATACCAGGGGTAGTTTTTCTTATATAATCCTTTGGGGAAGAAAAATAATTTTCCAGTTTCAAATCTTTAAGGGTTTGGATTTTTTAAAGACGTTTAGAAACTGGTTTAGAAATAAGAATGTTATTAGAATTTTGAATATTTTTCATACATTACGAAGATATACAAAACAGATTTTGAGGAACGTCTCCTTTGACCTTAATAAACTAATGATATTTTACACTTGATAAATTTTTAGATTTCATTTTAAATCATTCTGATAAAAAAAATGCTTAAAATGTGAAATTAATCAAACAAAGGCTTGTACTAGAACAGCATTATGGACTTTGTCAATCCAATTAATATTAAATGTTAGATACTACCTAAATCTAACAACATTTTGTAGAGTGTCACGTCAGAGGTCAAATTCTATTAACCAATCAAATAGTCAACTGCAAAATTATTGTTTTTCATATATTGAAATGAATAAGTCTAGAGTTGTTCCGTATTTGACATCTGACGTGACCTTCTCTGGGATGTTGTTAGATGTTGTGTAGCGAGTATGCGAGAGGATCTAACATGTTGTTTTATTTAGATTGGGATTTTGTTAAACTATATTTATATATATTTTCAATAGGTTGAAGTAACTGACGAGCAGATCAATCCAACTTGAACATGATATCATTTCTCCAATGATGAAAACAAGTCTCTCTATACTCAAGCATTGATATTTTTAAAGTCGACTGAAACTGGAACAGGTCATACATGCAGACTACATTGATGTGTTGCACAGTTCCGAAAACATGCAGCCACCACTAGCATAAGCATGATAAGTGTAAGTGGGTCATCAAAAAATGAGAACCGCTCATTAAGGACTTTTCTGTTGGTTGATGATGGACTACAAACTGAATTTTTAACAAAGGAATCCACCTTGGTGCTTATTGGCTACTTATGATGTGAACTTGTGCATTTATTATACCAAGTAATTTTACATTTCCTTGATAATACTAGACTTGCATAAACCGAATTCAGATTTAGTTGATTTATTGCAGTAATGCAGTTCTAAGTTCCTCTCGCAAGATTATATCTCTGATGTATGAGACATCATTAATTGCAAACATTTTCTCTGTCCTCCAGTCGTGACTTGAGGGCTTGGACTTAGCTGTAAAAATGTTTATGATGCAAGAGAAAATAAATGTTGATAATAACATTAAATATTCTTTGATAACTAGTGTATGTGTGTTGTTGTTTTTTCCAATATGAGAATTCAGGGGGAAAATGACTTTTGGTTGAAAACCAGGGCTAAATTGTGTAGTCAATACTACAGTTTCCGTTGCGGAAACCTATAGTATACCCTATGTATATCAATATTGTAAATGCATACTGAAACCTTGCGTATACCTCAAGTTTCAGCAAGTTTCTGTTGCGGAAACCATTGGTAAACCATATGTATTTCAACCGTATACGCATACTGAAACCTTGCGTATACCTCAAGTTTCAGTTGCGGAAACCTATGGTACACCATATGTATTTCAACAGTATACGCATGCTGAAACCTTGCGTATACCTCAAGTTTCAGCAAGTTTCCGTTGCGGAAACTATTTGGATTCGTGGACACCTTTGGTTTCCGCACTGCGGAAACTTGATGAAACTTGAAGTTTCCACACTGAAACTTTGCAGAAACTATTAGTAACCTTAAGTTTCCGCAGAGTTTCAGTAGAGTTTCAGCCATGCGGAAACTGTATTTTTCATCCAGTGATCAGCAAAAGATTCGTAGATTTTTCAGGAGCTTAATGATATTCTATATTAAAACCCCATTTCTTAAAAACACAAATGATATGTCTCTGTTTGTTAGCTCAAGTACAACGTATTATAAATATCACAAGAAAATGCCACAACTGTATTTTGTGTTCTTCTAAAATTAAACCAAAAGATTTGTGTGTAAGAAACCATTCTAAATGTGGCTAAAATCTATTAATGTTTCTAAATGTTGAAATTTGAGAGTCACCATCCTGCAAACCATAGTTATAAAGTTAATTAGAAAATGTTTGACATGAAACGTTTGACAGATTTTTAAGAAAAGAAGATATTCTATGCACAAAATAAGTGCTCTGTTTAATAGCAGATTTTTTCGTGTGCTTTTTTATGATACATGTGTACGTACTTGAATATGTACATACAAGTGTTGATAATAAATATTTAGTTTTAGTGCCTGTTATAAAACTTTGAGAGGTTGTTTGCACCTTACGAACAAATGCAAAATAATAGGTTTATTTCTTTGCCGCTGAATACTTAAGGAATGAAGCTTATTTCAACTTATATCATACGATATAACAAAACTTAGGGCAGTTTACGCTTTTTTATAAACCGCGAAGCGGTTTATAAAGCGTAAACTGCCCCAAGTTATGTTATATCGTTAATATAAGTTGAAATAAGCTTCATTCCTTATAATTTAATTTCACTGCAGACAATGAGACAAATTTCCCCAAGAATAAGGCTTCACATTGATTAAATTTTAAAAGTAACGTCAAGCGGAGTAATACGTTTTTTGACGTAACTCATTGTGACGTAGGCAAGTTATGTTATACAAAATAGATAAAATCTTTTATCCAATCAAATGACGTGTTAGAAGTTAAATTAAATTATTCGAGTATAAAAGTGCTAAATTAAAAAAAAAAGTTTTAATGTTACAAAGAACATTTGAATTAATTCATTTATTTGTGTAACTAATGTCCCTTTTGAGAAGCTAAAATGTAAAACAGTTTTATCAACTTCCTCTAAAGGTGGGGAATGGGCAAGAGTGAGCTTAAATTGTTTGCATTCATTTTTCAGAAACATAACTGTTTGGAATGGGGACCCAAGCAGTGGATATTTCAAAGATGAGATAACATTGCATGTTTGTGATGCCATAACTCTAAATGGCAATAGAACGTCTTCCCAATACAATTGTCTTCAAGAACTGCCTTTTCTGTGTCAGTATCAAACAGGTACTAACCTCTCACAGTCTATTATAGCATGTGAATACTTGGATAGTTTGATTCCATAAGGTCTTGAAGTGAATGTTAGTTGCAAAAAGATTCACATTTTCATTGGCTTTTATCCATATCAGATATACAAGAAACAATTTATTAGAAAGGAAAGGTAAATATATTAATTTATATAAGCTATGCACAATCAGCAAAATCACATCAGTGTGGATATTGAATGTACGCGTACGAATTTATTATATATTTTCTTATCTTTTGCAAATTGTGTCTCTATCAAATCATAATCAAATTAATTGTAAGCTAGTGCATGGTCAACTTTAAAGTATATTAATTGAACACAGTATTTTGTATTGAAATTAAATTACTTGAATGTCTGTAAAAATAAGCTATGTAAGGAGGGTTTGATTGATCGATTGCGTGCAGTTTAACGTCCCTCTCGAGAATTTTTCACTCATATGGAGACGCCATCACTTGCCGATAAAGAGCTGTAAATTATGTCCTATACTCGGCATTAGCAGCCATTGATCATTGAGGGTTCCTTTTGTGCCAACACCTACTGCAACACTGAACCTCGGTTTATACGGTCTCATCCGAAGCACCGGTCTCCACGTCCAACGGTGGGATTCGGACCTGCGACGTAAGGGTCAACTCCTTACTTCGCGGCTCTAGAGAAGACACTCTAACCACTCCGCCACTCGGGCGAAAGGATGATTTAAATCCTTCTTCCTGCTGTTATTAAAGGCGTACAATTCCAGAACTGTATAAACGGTCTCGGCTCTTTCATTTCAGACAAAATAACATATAGTGGGGCAGATAGGCAGACATTCAGACAGACGGACAGTCATACTGCATGTTGGTCGATTAACCTAGAATTTATTGATAAATATGCTTTGACCCCTGTTTTATGTTTAGAAGCTCGTAAATGTGAAAAGGAAGACAGTTCTGTGGTATATATTGATCTTAATGATATTAATGATCACTGATTTTTATCTTAAAGGGTTATTTTAAATCACGTAATATCTGATAAAAAAAAAAGTTTCAGCAACCCAACAAGAATCATAAACAATGTTTTACGTCATTCCAGACCATAATTTATTGAATATGTCTGATCCATTGATAGCTTAAATGATTTTTGTATTGAACTCTGTCGACCGCGTCTATTATCCAGACAGAGAGAAAAGGATTTTTTTGTTATTTATCATCACACATTAAAAAAAACTAAGGGAATGATTAATAATAAAAGCTCCTAAAATAATGTACTTTATAGCTGATCGGTTCATCGTTGTTTAAGAATACTGCACAAAAAACGCGCAGAATAAGTTAATATATTGATAAGGCACTACGTATTTTACACTATTTAATTTTCTCCACTTATACGTGTAAATGTAAGAATTGAGTTGAAGCGCTTCGTCATCTTTTTTATAGATAAAATATTTAAAGTTATTTTTTATAATAAGCAGTCGCCCGCGTGACGCAGTGATACGTGCGTCTGCTCTAGAGTTGCGAAATAGAGTCTATCCTTAGGACGCGGGTTTAAATCTCACTGTGGGACGTGGAGATCGGTCCTTGGGATGATACCGTATAAACCGAGGCCCAGTGTCGCAGTAGGCGCTGGCACAAAAAAAAGATCGTTTACTGCTCAATGGTGCTTAGTGCCGAGCATATGACAAAATTTGCAGCTCTCCACCAACAAGTAGTGGCGTCTCCATAAGAGTGAAAAAATCTCGGGAGGGAAGTAAAGCGATATACAGCTATGCAGCTATATTAAGCATATTTCAGAAAGAAAACGCTTTTTTGCGTTCTTACTTTTGGTTTCACAACAAGTTTCTATGAGTAAGATTAAGCCTAAGGATACGCCAGCAATACATGTATTCTTCTTTATGTCTCTTTTGAAATTGTTTATTGAATAGCACTGTTCCAAATTTCGGTCCCTATATGTTGAACATTGAAAAATATCCAAGTATTCTTTGAAATGAATAAGATACAGTGTAATTTTAAGATTCACGTGAAATTGATAACAAATTAAAGAGACAAAAACGACTTGCAACTATAAAATTAAACATGCAATCAAGGTCTTATGTACTCTTCTTAATTCATGAATTAAAACAACATTTATTTGAGGAAAGTCTTGTTTTTAAAAACTTGATTGAGAATAAATGCATTGATTTTTATTCTTTCACTACCATTGGTATCCATTTAGTGGATTTTATTTTGGAACCCTTTTTATCGGTTTCCTGTGGTTGCTTGCACTTATGGATTATTTTAGAAATGTATCTAAGGCAACATGATTTATATGGAGGGCTCTAAAATATCGGTTCAGATTCAAAGCACTAGCCCCCCAAAAAATTTTAGAAAAAAAATGTCCATTGGATAGAAGATGCAAAATAAGATCATGCTTAATTACATAATTTTATAATTTCTAGTAATCATAAAAATCAAAACAAAAACAAAACAAAACAAAAAGAATTAAAAGATGGTTTTTATTGTGTTTAGAGTTTTTATGAATCAAACCTACTTTTTCTGTTTGTTTTTTTTCATCATTATGAAAAAAGGGAATTGTAACTTGTAACTTCAGGACAATGCCAGTACAGAATTTACGAACAAACAAGTATTCGGGGCAATAACATCTTCACTAAGACTGCAATCACGTGGCAGCACTGTCACGATCTTTGTGAGACGGTAACGGAGTTCGTCTGCCGCAGCTTCGAGTACAATCCAGTCAGCCAGTACTGTCAACTCTCTCAGACCAACAGATGGCAAAAATCAAGTCAGTTCGCCTTCAATGTTAGAAGTTGGGATTACTATCATAAAACTTGCATAACAGGTGGTATTTCAATTTGTCAATTGTATATACCTTAAGAAATAAAAAAAACTCTATTTGTTGAAAAAAATGTCATTTTTGTTCACTTTTAATCACATCATAAAATTCTGAATAATGTAAAATGAAATTCATAATTTGTATTCAAAATGCTTGTAGCATTGTTGCAGAACGACCTCCGTGAATTTTCATCAACTTTTTCCACTCTATTAACCGTGTCATCAACATCATCAACAGATTCTACAGTCTCAACGACCCCCCAAACTTCAGGTATCTTTATTATGACAGGAACAGTATTATATTCATGAAACATTATGAGATTTAAAATGTAGGATTCTTACCATCGAGTGTTTATCATTAAGATTTAATTTCATTATATACGAGGGTTGTTCCAAAAAGTCGTAGACAGGGAACATATTTTATGTTCTCTTTGCTAAATCAAATTTCTTTTCTTGTCATAGCAAAGAGTGACATTTTATGATCATACATTTCAAGTTTCATGACGATACAACATTTAATAAGAAAACTATGGAAAAAAATAAAGATACCATGTAAGTGTACAGCGGCGTACGATAGCAAGCGTAATTTACGTCTCTCATAATGTCATGGTCCCTTTTTCTGCTTCACATAAGGCTATTAACATCCAAGTGAATATTTTTATTGTGAAAAACCACTCTTGACTTAGAGAATAATTTAAATTCACTACTGTACGTTTTCTTAAGCAGATTCAAATTTTAGTCAAAATTAAATTAGTTGAAAGATCACCTTACATTTTAGGCAGCAGAGAATGCACCTTGTTTTACGACGTTCATGGCCCAGAACGTTCCCATATGTCTGCGTTAAACAATCAGTACTCTACTTTACATGCAATAGCTATTTTTTTCGATATAGAAAAAAAAACTGTCTTTGAATCTCATGCTATTAAAAACAGCTTTTCTATTAAAATGTAGTTTGTAATGTCCTTTCTGTACTCTTTTTTTTCCCCTTCTCTGATGAATATAAAACATACCAAAAACAATTTATCATATTTTCGTGCGCCGGGTACGCGTTCGACGACGTCATTTCCATCAACCTCAATTCGAACAACACTTTGAAAATCATGACACCAGCCGTCTGTTTCTGATGTTATATATATGAAATTTTGACATATTATTAAGAATTTCATTCTGGTTTCAGTGATTTAAATTTTAGTTCAATCTTTTACATAGTACCAAAGAAATAAAAACAAATGTAATAGTTAAATGCGTAAATTATTCCGAATTTTGGTCGTGCGCCGACAGACCATATCGGCCTTCATATAAATCGTCCCAATATCATTAATATGAAAGATATATATTTAAGAATTCACAATTTTAAAGAACTTTGAATGTATTATGTCTATGCAAAATTTGGTTAGCATTGGTTGCGTGTTAAAAAAGGTAATTAACATTGTCTACGACTTTATGGGACAACCCTCGTATATTGGTAATTATACAGTGTTTCAAAGAATTAAAGATTCACACATTACTTCAATAAAAAAGTTGCTTTGTTTTTAATTCAATTTCTAGTACCCTCACAACTGCTACAACCACTGAGAGTCCTGATGTTTGAGGGCCCTTTGTCATGGTCTAAAGCCAACGACTTTTGCAAATCAAAGGGAGGGACATTAGCTGTTCTGAATGATAAATCCATAATCCCAGAGGCTAACTTAACATCCACAGAAAAGTACACACTGTTTTGTCTCATATCAATATTTCTAGAATGAAGGATATGGAGATAACGAACAGTATTCAATATCAAAGTCCATAAAACAATACAAAATAGGAGCAGAGCAAACACGGACCTCCGAAACATCAAAGGTGGGATCAGGTGCCATGGAGGAGTGAGCATCCCCTGCTGACAGGTCACACCCGCCGTGTGTTCCTTGTCATGATCGGGAAATAACGAGAAAATCCGTCGTCAATTCAGTGTATAAATAATGAACTTAGTCTAACAATTGGTATGAAAAATGTCAGTCAGCATTTGACTTAATGATAAACTGTATTTGCTGTATCGACCATAGAACTTCCGAAATGATGACTTAAAACGAGACTGCTGATATTATTGTTTCATCAACTTGTTTAACAATAATTTACCTCATTTTAGAAATTGTTCATATGTGGAGCATGTTTTTGCGTATCGAATCAACTGAAATATATATACTCCGTATGCAGGTGATGAAGGCACATGTATATTGCTGCATAATTAAGGGAAGTTGGCGATAGAAAAGTTAAAGTCATCACTTTTATCATTGAGCTTGGTTGCTAGATTACCATTAATGTATTTTTCAAGTCAAATATCCAAGTATACAAACAGATGTGTCAGACTCTGTGGTATCTTTTATCTCAAGCTCACCAGGATATATCATATCGACATTGGAATAAAAATAACTATAATTGTTGATTGACAATACGTCGTCGATATATCAAAATGTCGAGTTGAAGGCCACAGCAATGAAACATATGGAACATATGAGTTTACTCAGGTGACCTAAAAATACACTTTTTGCCTCTGAACAAAGTATGCATGGTATAATAATAAGAATCATATTATGGAATTGTTTTAGTTCACAGACAGTATGGATTGGTCTTTCACAAGAGGAGTACATGGACTGGAACTGGGTGAATGGGGAACCACTTACAGAAACCAACTGGAAATATGAACCGAACCGATATGACAGATCAAAGAAGTGTGCCTCGGTTACCCTGAAACATCCATACTGGTGGTACGAAGGCATATGTACCGAATCTAAACCCTTTATTTGCCAGTTCAAAGAGGGTGATTTTTTTTAAAGCATTTTTCTATTTTATTACAAAAATAATTAATTACAAAAAAGAATTCATTTTGTTTTATCTTGAATAATTTAAAACTGTTAACTGATTCATAGATAATCAGTTTCTATGTTTCAAACATAATGAATGGGGATCTTTGTGTAATAAGAATATTACACCGGGCCATCTTTAAAATAATGTTTTGTTTTTTTTTTGGCTCTCTTACGACTCAGGATAAAATTATCGGTCGGTAGCTAGATGGAAAAACATTTTTTCAACAAATTTAATTTGTTCACAGGATAAGAGGAATAAAAAAAATGTTCTGTCAGTCGGAAGGGAGAGGACAAGCAACCATTTTTATAAAGAAGGTTTTATCAAAAAGAAAAACAATGTATATAATATCAACTTTTTCTTTAGATACCTGCAGATTCCAGAAGGAGATAGCATCAGTGATGGTGGCTCACAATAGCCTCGTTTTGATAAATTCCTCCCTCTCTGAATGTAATCAAGTTTGTAATTCGTCCACGCAGTTCACGTGTCGCTCATTTGAATACAACCTGGAAAAGCAAACCTGTCAATTAAGTGACGTCAATAGATGGACAGAGAGTCATTATTTCTTACAAGATATACCTGGCTGGAACTACTACCACAGAAAATGTTACTTTGGTAAGCTGTATGCAAACTCCAAAAAAAAAAAAAATTTTTCATATATTGCTAAAGTTTATGTGTGTTCTTATGTTGACTTATTAATTATTTTTTGCAGGCATCGACGATTATCCATTTACAACCACACCAACAACTGGTACGTAAACCTAGGTTATAAGTGTTTTTTTTTTTTTTTTTTTTTTAAATATAATCCTCCCTGGGGATAAATAAGTTGGGTACATTTTTATTATTCCCCTGCGTTTGTTCGTGACGGTCGTCTTTTTACTTGTCAGTATAAATTTCTTCTTAAGTTTTAGCATGTCGCAAAATATTCAATATATTCCTTTTTACAAACAAATTTCTATTTGATATAGCTGTGTAAAAAATTGTTTTGGAAAACAGGTCTTACGGAATCTAATCTGAAAAAAAGTGTTAACTGGTAATTTATGCAAGCTTTTCAATTGGACTTCTGGTGTACCGGTATTGCAAGACTGTAGGAACAATAAAACCAGATCAACCTGTATAATAAATTTATATTTTCATTACGATGTGCATTAATTTGAACATCCAGATTTCTACTTGTATTCATATATACAAATGCTTACTGAAAAGTGGTGGCTTCTTACGTATGCTTGTCAAAGGAACTGTTCTTTCACTTTGGGGTTTTGGAATTAATTTTAAATTTCAGACTGGTTTTGTGCAAGACTTGAAACAAATTTGTGCTTTCTGCAACAATAATTTTGGGGTACTTTGATCTCTTAATATGGCCTTGACCTTTATTGAACATAAATGTATCAAAGGATGGTGACTTTTTATAAATTTTATTTACCGGGTATGTCAAAAAATCTCTACTATAAATGGATCAAAGTTATGCTTTGCATTTAATAACAGAAGGTCGCATGGCATATGGAGTTATGTCAAATACATGTAAAAGCCTTTAGCATGCGCGGATCTAGAGGGGGGGTCGGGGGGGTCAGGACCCCCCCTGGAATTTACCAGGTTAAAAAATGTATATACTAAAACAAGAAAAAAGTTACCATGGACCCCCCCTGGAAAACGCTGACCCCCCCCCCTGGTAAACGCGAATATGTGTGAAATGGGTAAGATTTGAGGCAAAAGAAGTCACCACTACCCCCCCCCCCCACGAAATAGGTTTTTGACGTTTGAACGAGTTTGGTGTTGCTATTGAAATGAATTGGTAGTGGAAAAAGTTTGCCTCTAACCCCCCCCCCCCCCCCCCCCCCCCCCCCCCACGAAATAGGATTTTTGACTTTGGGCAATATTTCAATTTTTCCGGTTTTTTTCTTTTTTTTTTTTTTTGTGCTTGTCAAGAAATTTCTGGGATTGGATTTTTTTTTGACTGGGGTGGACCCCCCCTTGAAAAAATTTCTGGATCCGCGCCTGCTTTAGCATCGCTTTCAATTACTTCTGTATGCTAAATGTAATATTAACATGTAATATTCACTTCAGCGGACTACACAACAGAGAGTACGAAACAAGAAACACTATCTAGCACACAGCCCCCTACTACAGAGGAACCGTTTGAGGTGTTAAAACGAGAGTTGGAAGAGATTGGGGAGAAGATTCGAGAAAAGAAACGCAAAGCGTCAAGAACAAGCGTCAAAGACACGCGTCCCTCTGCCACAAGCGTCGGCGTCGTTGGTATCATAATAATTGTGTCTATGCTTGGAGGAATTGTAATTCTGGATTTAGGTACATTACACATGCACTGCAAACATTTCTCTGGAAGAAAAGGCAAGAAGGGACCCAAGCATAAATACATTCAAAGGGAAAAAGACAGTTCTATATCTAATATGGAAAGAAAAGATAATGCTTCAAGAGATACAAGCGAAGACTTTGAAAAGAAGACCAACAGGTCAAAAGTTATAAAAGTAACTTCAGACAAACAAAAGCCACAGCGTTTCCATTCAGAAAAAAGTGATATTAACGAGATAAACGGAAACAGTGAAAAATCAAACGTGAACGACCTTTATCATCAAGATGATACACATTTGTAACTGTTTGTATGTAAGACATTAATTTTCTATATAACCAGCAAGTGCTTATCTTTGTTTTGTTTAACTAGCGGGATTTTTTTCTTTAGCTTACCTGAGCTGAAGGTTCGAGTGAGCTCTTCTATCTGATCAAGATTTATCCGTTAAATTGCCTTTATTGGCATAAACTTTTTATCTTCTTCCCCAAAACCACGAAATCGAATTTAACCAAGCATTCTTGGGTGAAAGACATACAAATTTATTATTCAAATGGAGGACTACATATTTTAACTCTTCCTTCAATGACAGATAATTAAGAAAAAGTTAAAATTTGGCGTCTAGAATCATGTAAAAAGATTTCAAGAACTACTAGGTCAGAAAAATGGAAACTTGTTAAAGTTTCTTTACAAAGGGAAGATTCAGATTTGTTCAAATCATCGCCTCTGGGAGTATGTCGAGGCTATTATGGGCAATAAAACTTTTTCCATAAAAACTTTATTTTATATACTCGTTCTAGAATAGCAAAGCTATGATAGAACAGTCATATTTATATCTACCAGTACCGTGTACAATTGAGCAGATTGACCGAACGTTTAAACAGAAGGGATGGGCGTTTTTAAAAACGAAAGTGTTGAAAACAGGTAAACAGAAGATTCATATATATATATGGAATTAAAGGACTGTAATCAATATGAGTCGAGTTTTATTTAAGTGAAAGATTGACCTATAGTATGAATCCCAGCAATAGAGAGGGGATCCTTTTCATCTTTTACTGAATTCATTGGTGTTGTAAGGTTACCATAAATGTCTTTCTCAGTAAAATACTGTACCCAAATACGACATACGTAGTGGGTCTTTTCATACACAAAAAATCTTACGACTAGAACAGACAATTTCAATTTCCCTGACAATTAAGCATCTAATCTGAGGTGTGTTATAAGAAATCAATTTTATCTTGGTCGTAATTAACATAATATTTTGTGAAAATGTACATGTATCTATTCCATTTGGATTTCCGAAATTTAAATATAATCAAAGTACTCAGAAGTACAGAGAGCCGGGCTCATTTACAGAGTAGAATGGATTTCTTACATGAATCACGTTTATATTCTGATAAAAAAATTATTTTAAAACTATCAATATAAATGATAAGACCACAGGCGCTTGACGTTTTTAACCTTTCTTTTTATAGATACAAAATTTCCCTACTATAATAATAAACAAGGTCGGACACGTAGCCATCTTGGATTTTTTTCAGGTCAGCTACCTCACCTCGATTTTTAGTCTACAATATGTTTAAAATAAACAGATACAACCCTTTCCTGGGAGTACTTACCTTAACTATGCCTCCACTTTCGGGCAATCCAACTCAAACCACATTAAACCCCCTCTAATCTTTAAAATATCGCTTCATACGCAGCCTACTGCTACCGACTCGGTAAAAACTTAGAAAAGGGAGGCCGGAAGTTGATGTTATTATGTAAATGAGAATTCCCTCTACTTAAATTTGATTGATTACTAGGATATTTATATGATACATACCAGTAAAACTGTTTAAGCTCCATTATTTTGTGTGTATTTTATTTTTCATGCTATAGATTAACATGATGCAAACAGTTCGTTTTCTATTTCAAATATTACCGCAATTTTAATATTAATAGCTCTTAAGATATCAACCAATCAGAAAAGGGCTTTCCCGGATTATGACGTTCTAACATAAACTTCCGGCCTCCCTTTTCTAAGTTTTTACCGAGTCGGTAGCAGTAGACTGCGTATGAAGCGATATTTTAAAGATTAGAGAGGGTTTGATGTGGTTTGAGTTGGATTGCCCGAAAATGGAGGCATAGTTAAGGTAAGTACTCCCAGGAAAGGGTTGTATCTGTTTATTTTAAACATATTGTAGACTAAAAATCGAGGTGAGGAAGCTGACCTGAAAAAAATCCAAGATGGCTACGTGTCCGACCTTGTTTATTATTATAGTAGCGGAATTTTTTATTTATAAAGAGAAAGGTTAAAAACGTCAAGCGCCTGTGGATAAGACACTGACAGTGAGTTTTACAATCCTAATACCACGGTCCGATTTTGTCAGAATCAGAATTAATCTGGTACCGCAGCTGAATGTAAACAAGCAGGCCAGTCTGGTTCCCTCTCCTGCTTTACCTCGTATGTGTAGAGAACTACGGTAAGACTGATTATCAAAACTCCTTACGCTAATGAACAGTCGACTATGTTCTTTGACTTATGAAGTTTTCAAAGTCATTACTACAAATGTTTATTTTATATAGATGAAACTTCGTTTTATTTTTGTTGCTTTATTTAGCGTTTGTATTATCTCAAAAGCGGTTGAGAGTAAGAACTATATTTTTGCACGTAACTTTAAAATGGCGACTATTGGGTTAACATCCTGCCTTGAACAGGATCACATAAGCCGGCAATTGCTCTTTGAGCAATAAGCCCGGCTAAAAAGCACTACATGATCGGCATTGTTATTCAGAGACTCATCGATCTTTTTGTTGGAAGAAGAAATTCTTGACCTTTATTGACCATGTTGACCTGATACCAACTTACGAGTATGTATTTACGATATGCAGTGAATAAAATACGTCTGGATTGTCAATGCAGTCAGGTATATATAAAATGTCAATTCAATTCTTTATTTCCTTGTGCCTTATGGCACATCAGAAAATTATTATATATCTAAACAAAAAACACTGATAAATTCAAATCTTTCAGTTATATAATAAATAATGACATATAAATTATATGCTACAAACAATTTAGTCTATTATTCTATATATTCTTCGTTGTGAATGTTGTGAAGTGCTGAACAAATTGAAAATCTTCCCAGATTAGACATTTCTTTGACATTTTTTACATTTAACAAAGATTTTTAACATTATGCTGTTTGATATATTGAATTATGAGATCTTGATATACAGGTCATTTTAATTTAAATGGAATCCATCTTCTAGATCTACATCATTCAAATCACATAATAGACAATTTTGTTACTACCGTTTCAGTAATAAAAGAAATACGCACGCTAACTCTCGACTCCCGCCTACATTTTGCAACCATTTAATTCAATATATAAATGGCAATTTGGCCATAAAATATTTGTTTAATACAAGGACCAGTTAAATGGTAATTGATGAATTGTCTTGATACCAACATTAATTAGTAAATTATCCATAATTCAATCTCTTGAAAAAAAAAAGGGGGGGGGGGGGTTAGACGATATTTTCCATTGAAATCGGACTTTCATGCAAGCATCACTATATTTTGAAATAGTCTTGGATATGATTAAATATTCCTTATAATTATCTTTTCTTATGTTTTATGCAAATATGTTTGTATTAATAATAATTAATAATGTTTCAGTTGTAAATCGCTTTGATATTGGTGGAAAATAAGCATTTTTGTCGGTTTTTTTTTGTTAATACCCCCCCCCATCCCGTGAAACACAAAAAGCTTTGGTATGAATATTTGAAATAACAGTCCATATTACTTGTAAAAAGGAATTTTTGTGTCACGGGGGAAGTTTTAAAAATATTTTCCATTTTCTGTTGATTTCTATAGAGAAAAACACAAGTTTTACATGTACCACAGGGTTTAAACTTAAGTGAAATTTCCACGAGCCATGTAGGAGCCCACTGCTAAATTTGTTAGCCCACAGTCTCTGTGATTTTTTTAAAAAGCATAGATACTGGGACAAAAAGTAGATACAAATGAAATATATATATAAATTCATCTGTTTAAAATTGGAGTTCTTACTTTATAAAAATCAGATGTCATATAAATATCTAATCAAAGGAAATAAAATTGTATTCAATAAACATTTTTACGATTTTTACTTGGTAATACATGTATATAAATACGTAGCCCTCGTACATGTCTTCAACTGATAAATTGACAATGACACAATAAGATTTTTTAACTACAAGTCTACAACATATCTGAAATAGGTGAAAACACTTATTATTCATATGACTGAGTAGTTGGGAGTTATTAAAATTGTATATCTCTCACGTATCAACCAATTACAGAGGGTTGGAGGAAATTCGGATTAGGAAAAAAGACGATCGTTTTGGGGAATTTCACAAATCGTTTAGTACTTTAAATGGAAAAGATGAAGAATATTTACGAACAATAGGACCATACTGCTGTGATTTATTTCATTTTTCTGTAGTTTTAAATCAAAAACCTGCATAAAATGTCTGTTTTTCAGTAAGGGGACTGGGAATGAATTCGGCCCCCTGCAGAATTTTTATTCGCCACGTGGGCGAGCAACTTACAAATTTTATGAGCCCACACCAATTTTTACTCGCAATTTGCGAGTGGGCGAGCGTTAATTTTAAACCCTGTTACCAACAGTTTAGAGGTATCTCTCTTTGTAAATAAGTAAAATAAATGTTTTATGAAAATCAATACAATTGCATGTATCTATAAAAAAAATATCAAAAATTCATCGAATTATTATGTTAAAATAACTTTTGAAAACTGACTTGGAGGTATAGGCGGGAAAACAATATTTCATTCGTAGTTCTTTTAATTAACCATGCACTGTTTATTATACTATAGTTTAAAAATTTAATTGATTACTGAAATATAGGTCCCTGTCACGAATATCCTCATCGTCGGAAACCCACGGGTGATCTCGTCTTTAAGTAAAGACGAGATCACCCGTGCCCCGGTTTCCGACGGTGGAATATCCTCTGTGACAGACATACCATCCTCATAATCATGATTAGCGTATCAGAAACATTTGGCTGGCGAAGATGCTGACATATATACATGTATATGTAGATCTCTCTATCTATATACAGTCCAGTCCAATACGAAAATTCGTAATATTACAAGTTTTCGTAATATAAAACTTATATTACGATTTTTCGTAATGTAGTTAAATTACGAATACGCGTAATATAGTAGATTGTAAGAAACTATATTACGAGTTTTCGTAATCCAAGACAAATTCAAGCATTGAAGAAATTGAGTGGTGGGTAGCAAAGAATGACGTCAGTAATATATCAGATTCCACGGCTAATGATAGCATGCGGTCAGATTGGTCAGTTACGCCTATCAGAAAGCATGGAAATTCAAGAAGAAAGTATCGCCAGCGATGGGTGAGTGGACAATTTCTTTTATTATTCTTTTATAGGAATTTTCCCACGGATAAGACCAATTTTCCAGTAAATTTCAATATTCGCTAAAGCATGTAGCATTGGTCTATATCACCCGAACTCCCTACTTTTCTTCCGAAGTCTACCCTAAAAATCACACCCTCGTTTCATAATTCAACTGTTCGTGCAATTCTTATTAAAATACACAGAATTTCAAATCTCAGTAAGCGTCGTACAAGTTATCGCCCATGACATCTCGTATTAAACGCCATACTTTACTACCCGCCACTAAATTTCTTGCAATGCTTGAATTTGTCTTGGATTACGAAAACTCGTAATATAGTCTCTTACATCTGCTATATTACGCATATTCGTAATTTAGCTACATTACGAAAAATCGTAATATAAGTTTTGTATTACGATAACTTGTAATATTACGCTTTCTCGTAATCTTACGTTTTTTCGTAAAATTACGAATTTTCGTATTGGACTGGACTGATATACATGCCAAGAAATCTCGTCCGATTTCGACAGCGATGGAGTCAATAAAAGTGTAATTGATGCAAATCACCCATATTCCCAAAACGCCAGCAAGACCATTTACGGCAGCAGACTTCTGGGGGTGGATCCTAGATTTTAAGCTTTCTTAGTTAAAGAAAAAATAAACTTCCACCCCAGGAAGTTGTACAAATACCCTAAAAAGTTACTGTCAAATATCTTTATTTACAAAATACGTAAAATGCCAGAGGCACTGGTACCAAAATTTATTTTTTAAAAAAAATTGGACGAAAGAAAATAAGAAAAAACAATCAAAAGAAAATATTCATTTTAAAATGAAAATATATACATAGCCAATCGGGTAACGTCTACCCATTCAGTACTCGTCTCCATCTTAACCAGGAAATGTTGTAAACTTCCGGAAATTTGGTACTCTTTTATCTATATTTCGACGTGGTACTTCCACAACTACCCGATGTCAATTTATTTGTACTGAGAAAAAATATTCTGAAATTGTATTACGTAAAAAAATTGAAAGGCAGCTTATTTTATTGAAGAATTACTTTACTATAATTAATTTCATTCCCCCATCCTACCCGAAAAAGACAATGGAGGGGGGGGGGGGGGGGGAAGGCTTCTAAATAACTAGTATTCTACCTATAATTTTAATCCAGTAAATTTTAAGATCCCTCCCTCAAAACTGCAGACGTCTCCCAGGGGAAGAATCACAGATTAATGTTAATTCGGCTTTTATTGAGTTTGCTATACGGAGAGAATGCTAAGGTTTTCTTGGCATGGTCAGTACAGCATATTTTTTTTTATATAATTATTACATGTATTAGGCTGATGAATAATAAGATTTTATTTAAAACACTTCAAAGTTCTGTGAAAATGATATAACTTGAAGTGTTTTACATGCACTTGATACTTGTTAATTAATTAGGCCTAATTAACATTTCAAAATAATTAAGCTCAGATATGCCATGATAGCTGGTATAAACTGGATCTTATACTCGTAGTGTTCCAATCTAATTAAAATTAGATGTTAGATCCGCTCGCATACTTGCGAATATGCGAGCGGATCTAACATCTAATTTTATTAGATTGGTACAGTACGTGTTCATGACCGATAGGACAACGCACTACATGTAGGCCCTAAGATTTAATTTTAAACTCTCGTTTGTCTCGTGACTCTTCAGCTCGTTATCGTCTTGTAGTTCAGGTATATCCTTGATTTTACCAATCTTATATAATTATTTGTGAGGATTTTTTAACCGTAATTTATCAAGTGTGTGTCCTGAATATTGTTCTTGTTGATGACCTAGTTACTCGTCGGGCTCGGCATTACCAAAAGTCCGATCCTAAACACAACAGGCGTAATGATCCGTAAATTCACCAGTAGCAGAAAGATGTCCTCAATATCGTCTGCATTACATAATGTTTTGGACAAAATAGAATCTGCCAAAGAGAAGAGAAAGGTATGGAGTATTCTATTTGTTCTTTAAAAACAAAAAAGTTGCGTATCACTTTTGCTGGAGAAACATTAATTTACTGTTTGTGGCAATAATCAAGGATAGTGAACGCTCATGATTTATGTTTTCGTGATTATAAAACTAAAAGAAAGATTGCCGTTGTCATTCATGGCTTATATAAGCATTACCAAGCACGTGTTATGTAACAAATTTGGACAAGGATGTCCATTTAAACAAAAAGCTTCATTAACATGATTGATACCATGTGTTTGCAGGATTTCAAATGGAGCCAAAAATAGACGGGAAAGCATTTCATATCCCTTGGCTATACATATCTTGGAAGTCTTTAATTTTCATTCATATTCCTCTCCCTGCAAAACCTATTTATGTATTAATCTACTATCCCCTAATTTAATTGAAACTTGCCAGTTGTGCATTGAATTATAAAATGCTTTAAATATGTGTATTCCACTCTCTGCCATCGCATCATTAAATAAACAGAGGGGATAAGCTCCATACAGTATGGATTAACAAGGTTAGTCTGCATGTGGGATACACAAAAAATTAATCTGTTTTTTAAAAAAAAAACAACTTAAATTTAAACCTGAATTTCTTGCCATTTTTGTATAAAAACAAAAAACAAACAAACAAAACAAAACAAAAAATATCTCTTGGCAAAATAGTGTAAACTGTCAACCGTAGACCTGTCCCCGGTCAACAGTGAATCAATGTGTGGTATGTAGATTAAAATTAACTCAATATACAGTGATGTATGTATATGTTAATATTGTTTCAGTCAAAGTACTAAATTATCCTTAAATTGGAGTTGAGCCAATTGGTGAATATCATCTAATGCACTACAAGTACAGATGTCAGATACATGTAGTAATTTCAATTCATTAATGTCGGAAAACAAAAAAATTATTTTTCAAACAAATTAAACTTTATCTTTTGGCCATGAATCTGATGAATAAATTAATGTTCCAATAAAATAATTATATAATTATGTGTAATGCACTTTAATACAGTGGAGCCTCGTTTATCCGGATGCTTTGGTTCCTAGTCAATTTGTCCGGATATGTGAATTGTCCGGATACATGTACCTGAATCACCAGTTAAACAAGACAAATAATGTAAATTAAATTCCGTTCCCATGATAAATCGTTCGGATACTGAAGCATCCGGATATCTGGCGTCCGGATATCTGAAGGTCCACTGTACATGCTTTTAAATGTTTTAAGCTCATAACTCTGCCTGGCATAGTATATATTTTACATATTTACATGCAGGGTCATTCTATCATTGAAGCAAATGCTCTGTCAAGGCACCAGCAAATACACAAATTTATAGGTACATGTATTGTACAATTGAGATGGTGACCATTAATTTCTCTTTGCTGCATTATTATTAAGTTAAACACATGCCACTTATGTATCAGTTTTTACATTTTCTTGATTATTCTGTGACAGACAGACAATGGGGAGTTTCCAGTGACCTCCAGGCTGGTGGCGGTGTCTAAGACCAAGCCCCCCAGCTCTGTAGTGGAGGCCTACAAGTGTGGACAGAAGCACTTTGGGGAAAACTATGTAAGTGTGGATTCCAATATCTGATATGCTCAGATTTTTGTATTAAAACATTTGATATTCTTGGACCATAAGTTATTTTCTTTGGAGTTTTTCAGCATATTTTTTAGCAAATACATAGGTGTCAAAACCAAGGTTGAAGGGAGGTAAGGGGGTTTTGGGGATTAGCCCTCTCCACTTTCTTTGCAGTTTGCAAATAAAGACATAATATATATTGAAAATTGAGGCTTGATAATCAAGCCCTAAACAATATTTGGCTGCTTTAGGGCTACCACCCCCCTCCCCCACAAACCTTTCAATAAGCTTTCAATGCCTATGTAATATATTTAAAACAAGGGTCTGATTTGTATCTCTGAGTTACACATTGATTTTTGCAGGTCAATGAACTATCTGAGAAGTCCATTGCCCCAGAGGTAGGTTGTATATTTTGTGTAGTTCAAGATCAAGTGAAATTCCCTATTTCTTAACATGCTTAACCCCAAAATTTAGACCTTATAATTGTATTAAAATAATAATGATGGTGTAAGCTTCAGCAATTAATGTTTGAAAATGTCATCAGTGCATAAATTTGCAAAAAAAATAGGCGTCTTTATTTTAATAGATGTAGAATTAGTCTTTTACATGTCTTAATAATGTGTTAATTTTGGATTTTTATTAACATGATTAACTCAAAATTTTATATTATGTATTAATTAAGAAGGCTGTTTTATAAGGTACAATATGCTATAATTTCAGATCCAATCAGAATGCAAGGATATAAAATGGCATTTTATAGGACATCTTCAAAGTAAAAAAGCAGGAGCATTAGTCTGTAAGTACACATCAGGCAAAAGCTTGGATTTAGTGATCCTTAGTTTGAACATGTAACATATAACAGTGTATCAGGCTATATTATCCTCCTCCAATTTGATCATCCTCCAACCCAAACAAAATTTAAAAGGGGGGTAAATAGGAATCACATTGTCTGTACGTCCATCTTTTTTGAGTAAACGAATCTGCATACTAGGCTGTGACGTACTTTTTACTGAAAGCTTATGTAGTATATGACTAAGAGTTTGTAGGATCTTGGATTGTGTAAATCCAAATACATGTAAATTTGACACAAAGATTGCTATTCTCTTAATAGTGTATATGAATATTAGTTCTCCAGGCCCAGTCAAGGTTGGAAAACCCAGAGTTTTGTATTAAACACCCCTAGGCTAAGGGCTTATCATTTGAGCAATTTCAATGTCATATGCAAAAAAAAATTATAACTATTTGGTCAGTGGTCATGTCAATGGTCAATGGTCCATAACTTTTAAGAGAGAAATATGAGATGCAATTCTTTAAAAAGAAAGGTGAGAAATATCATTTTGCAAGCTTTAAATATTCATAATACCAGTGCTTACAATATTTGATATAGCTAAACTGTTGAAGAGGAAGAAATTGCTTAAAATTTTGATTGCACTAGTTTTTGTACATTTACTATTGCAATACTTAAAATGGATTTTCCATATATCCTTTGTATTTGCTTGATTGTAGCATGTCCAAATCTCTTTATGGTGGAGACAGTGCATTCAGACAAAATTGCCAATGTATTGAACAGACAGTGGGAGTCCAAAAAGAAAGAGGGGAAGCTAAAAGTGATGGTACAGGTCAACACAAGTAATGAGGAAAGTAAGTCAGTCATACATCAGTCATAAATCAGTCAATACAAGTAATGAAGAAATTGCGTCAGTTATACATCAGCTGTTATTCAGTCAACAGAAGTCATGAATAAGTAAGTCACCAGATGCTAATGCTAGTGGTCCACCATGAATACAATGTACTTATAGGAGGTTAAAATATGTTCATTATTATAGAGTATAAAAAGTCATTCCTGATATTTAGCACTTTAAATATCATTTTATTAACATTAGAAGATGGTTAAGCTTCATGTTTACGGTCACTTTTAAATAAGACCATTAGAAGATGGTTAAGCTTCACGTTCACCGTCACTTTTAAATACATATACAGGGTTTGACATTAAGCTTTTGGAATACTAGACCAATCGGGCTACTCTGGCAAATTTTTACTAGCCCTGACCCTTTAATCACTAGCCCTGACCAAACTTGGGAAAACATATTTCAAGTACAAAAAAGTGATAATTGTGTTTTTCTGTGCAGATGTCAGATGAGAATCCATATTTAAAATAACATTTTCTCTCACACGTCACATCGAAACTAGGTCATATACATGTGACTTGTCGTGTTTAGTCCTAGTTCAATCAACTTGTATACAATATTAATTGATACCATTAAAAATGTTCGGAGAATTTAGGTATAGTAAGAATAATTAAGGTCTTCCGTCTTCACGGAAGACCTTATAGCGATTCTATTGTTTCTTATTAAGGTCTTCCGTCTTCACGGAAGACCTTCTAGTGATTCTACTGTTTCTTATTATTATTATTATTATTATTATTTTTTTCCCCAAAATTTTGTGCAGGCGATTTCTCGAAAACTATATAGTGGTTTTCAATGAAACTTTTAGGAATTATGCGTCATTATATGAAGTTGTGGCATGACAAGGAAAATTTTGGAATACTCACCTTCGGTTCCAAGATATTGACAGTTTTCTGATTTTAAAACGGATTTTTGTTCCCCCTTTTTTTTCAAAAATGGATTAAGATATTAACTGGGGACTTATTAGAGATGATAGATAATCACTTCTAGATTTGCGGAATTACCTTTTTGTGCGTCGTTACTACTTCCGGTTGCTATCGGAAGCGAAATTGAAAAGTCCGTATTTTCTAACTTTTTTGTTTTTCAATATTTTTCATTTATTTTTGGAATGCTAATAGAAACCTTTCTTTTAATGCTCACTGTATCATTTGTTTGAATATTGATAAATCCAAACTCTAGATATTAACATTTAAAAATCTGAAGCGGGTCCAAAATGGCGGCTGTCTCTGTCATTTCCGACATTTCGCAATTCAGGGTTTACGAAGTCAGCCGAGCGTTTGCTTGAATGAAAGTAAAATAGGATAAATGAAATGTAAAGGAATACTTGGATTCTCACGTCGTTGCTACGTTATAATTCTGTGTCAAACTATGATTTAATCCTTGGTCGTCTGAAACGTCTTCTATAATTGATTTTGGCTGGTTCTCAAAGTAGAAAAAGAAAAGACTAAATGTGCAAATGAAATACGATACCTAGTATCTTTTGTTTCGGAAAATTAGATTTTAAATCATAGGTATACTTTAAGTAATAGTTTTTAAGAAACAATATGGATGTACATAGTAAGTATTAAACGTAACCACTGTTTTGCACATGCAGACTTGTGTCATATTCAAATAATAGAAAAGAAAAAAAATATATAAGAAAATCATTTTTCAAAATATCGTTGAATGGAGTTCATATTAACATTCTTGTCTCAAAGATCAGATTTAAATTATTGAACATAAAATTTAATGTTATCTGATTCCCTGACTATAGTAGGCATGCTTTTATCAATATGTTCTTAGTGGGGATGAACAGGAAATTAAAAAAAAAAGGGTAAAAAGTTTACCAGATTCACTGATTTAGTATTATTTATCTATATACGATATCGAATGTGTAAATATGCTAAATATACTTTCTTAACCTTGAAATTTAAGCTATAAGAACGTTCTTGTTTCATTTCCATCGAAGCTATCGCACCTATTTAATGGAACATTCCAAAGAAAAAGCGCGAAGATTTACTCGTGGTGTTTGACACAAAATTATTAATAGTGACCTGCCTTTCATTATTCGAAAACTCATGTACTGTTGCAGAAGTATATACAAGTACATTTAGAGCTTTGGTTCTTATAGAGTAATAGTAAGCGGTTTGGATTTTCATGCTAACGACCCGGGTTCATTGCCCTTTGTTTTCATAACAAGTTTTATCACTTTTTTCAGCTCAATTTTGCTGGGTTTTTTTCAGAATCGGGCGGAAGACCTCTCGTTGCTCGCAACGAGTTTCTTTTCTAGTTATTATTATTTTTCTGACCATCTAATTTTGTGCACGCGATTTCTCGAAGACTACTTGGTGGATTTTCACGAAATTCTCAGAAACAATGTGTTGTAATCTGAAGTTATTTTATCCGAGAGATTTTTTGGAAATTCGCTTCCGGTGCCAAGTTACAGACCTTTTCCTGAATTTAAAATGACATTTTGTCTGCGGTTAATCTTAAGAACGGTAAAAGATATTAATGTGAAACTTTCAGGGATTATATATCGTGATATTCATTATCCAGGACGCGACCTTTCGTTCGTCGTCAGTACTTCCTGTTGTTTCCAGATGAAAATTTAAAAAGTCGAATTTACTAACTTTTTTGTTTATCAATATTTTTGAATTATTTCAATAAGTTAAATAGAAATTTTTCTAATTAGGCTTTATATATAATTTGTTTATAAATTGAAACATCCAAACTCTAGATATTAACTTTTGAAAATTCGAAGCGTATCCAAAATGGCGTCTGTCTCTGTCAACTCCGACATTTAGTGCGTAGGGGGTTATGGAGTCAGCTGAGCGTTTGGTTGAACGAAACTAACATAAGGATAAATGAAATGTAAAAGGGATACTTTGATTGTCACGTCGTAGTTACGTTGCAATTCTGTTTTAACTAAAGTTTAAATTCGAGGTCTTCTCAAAGTAGATTTATCTGGTTCTCAAAGTAGAAAAAGACGAGACTAAATGTAAAAATGAAATACTATATCTTCAACCTTTTGTTTTGCATCATGGAACAACAGATCTTGAATCACAATTAATATGCATGTAAGCATAATTTTATCAAGAAACAATATATTCAGTGAGTATAAAACGCGGCCACTGTTTTCCCATGCAAACTAATAGAAAAGAATAAAATAAGTAAACCATTTTTTCAAAAGATCGTTTAATGTAGTTTATGTAAACATTTGTTTTCTAATAGATCTAATTCAAGTTATTGAATATAAATGGTATCTTAATTCTTGACTGTCGTTGGGTGAGGCACGTTTTTCAGTTTCAGTTTTTAATGAATGTGTAACTAATTGGGAAATTGAAATATGTTAAAGAATCATAGCCATATTCCACTGCTTTCGTATTACTTGCGTATAAACGATATGTCTTATGTCTCGTACATTGAACATATTCAATGACTTTTAAAACTCAGAATTTAAGCTATAAGAACGTTCCTAATTTCATTGAAGCTATCACACCTGTTTAATAGAACTTTTTCAAAGAAAAGGCGTGAAGATTTTGGCGCAAAATTATGAATAAATATCAGCCTTTCACAATTTCAAGACATATATACTGTTGCAGAAATATTTACAAATAAATTTAGAAGTGTGGTCCCAATATAGTAAAGGTAAGCGCGTTGGAAATACTTGCTGGTAACCCTGGTTCAATCACCCATCAGCACGAGTTTTTCAAATTAAATTTTCAGCTCGATTTTACAGATTTTTTTTCATTTAATTATTATAGTTTTACTGTTATTTACTTGATTACCGATGTCGTAAACGTGAATCTTTCGACAATGACAATCGTAACTACTCAGCCATTCACGTGAACGATAAATAGCTCATTGTTTCTCTCTAGGAAAATGGCCGAGCAGTTACGAATGCCAAATGCATGTATGAACTGTTGTTAAAAATAGCGCTTCAGTCATGCTGTCTGTAATGTATCTACTATGCCGTTAGAAACGTTTTATTTTTTCATCGGGAATAAATAATTATTTAAAAATATATAATAAGTTCCTTTATTTTTCTTACATGACCAGTCGTTCTAGTATACAGACATTTTACCCGACCAGACCTATCTTTTACTAGACTCAGTCGGTTGGACGTGCCTTTACGTCAAACCCTGATATAAGACATTATTTTGATTAAGGTGTCTAAGAATCATAGGTTCTCATAAATGACTCCATTTTGTTATATGAAAATATTATAGTGATATTTGAAGATATGTCAGCATCAATGGCTGTCTGTATCTGATTTGTTTGTAACTGATGTTTATTATGTTCCCCAAACGAAGTTGGGGAACATATTGTTTTTACTCTGTTTCTTATTATTATGTTCCCCAAACGAAGTTGGGGAACATATTGTTTTTACTCTGTTTCTTGTTATTATTATTATTAGGGTCTTCCGTCTTCAGCGGAAGACCCTTCTATTATTCTATTGTTTCTTTTTCACTTTTATTATTCTTCCCTTTTTTTCTTACAATTTTTGTGCAGAAGATTTCTCGGAGATGACTCGATCGATTTACTTGAAATTTTCAGGAAAGATGTGTCTTCACCTAAACCTGATTCGTTTTTCTCATTTTTTTGAAATTCACTTCCGGTCGGAAGTTATCACCCTTTAATCGAAATTTAGAGGGCTTTCTTGTCTGGAGCAGAACTCAAAAACGGTTTAAGCTAGAGCGCTGAAATTTTTACCATAGATAGAGGACATGTTGCCATTGTGCACCTGGGTCAGGATATTTTCCGGAAGTGCCCAGTATGGAAGCTCGGTAGGGGTCGAAATCTAGGACACGAATTATGAGTGAATTTTCGAGATATTTTATATCATATCTTTTAAAGGATAAATATTTTGTTAAAACATACTGAGCAATATTCGTGCAGAATGACGAGATCTTTAATATGATATCAAGAAAAAAGTGCTGACTCATCACATTAGGGGAAAAAATGGGCCAAAAGTCT